CTTTTCTTCTTTTGTCTCTCCTCTATCCACTCACCCCAACCGGTCGAGGCAGAAGGCCGCTTAGCAAGAGCCGGGGTCTGTCGGAGGTTTCTTCCGTTAAAGGGAGTTTTTCCTCCCCACTGTCGCCAAGTGCTTGCTCAAGGGGGATTTGTTGGGTTTTCCCTATGTACTAATATTGATAACAGTAAGGTCTAGACCTTACTTTGTAAAGTGACCTGAGATGACTTTTGTTGTGATTTGGCGCTATACAAATAAAATTTGATTTGATTTGATTTATACAGGTGTCAAGCAAACAACTAACTGTGCATCACTGTGTGCATTACCTCGCGCTAATGTGAGTGATGTTGATGATTGGTGTAGCTACAGGAAGCTCTTCTCCTTGCAGCTCAGCAGCCTGTTTCTCTAAATCTCTAGTCAACACCTGCAAAACACAAACAATATTAGTCATATCATTTTAGTGCCAAGTAGAGCAGATCCATGCATTGCCTCTTAGCAAACCTAACAGAATTAAGTGTTATTCTGTCTTCTGCTGTTTAGATTAAAATAAAATTACTAACAATGACAATGTGAAAAATAACATGGCCAGAATTAAGCTTTAGTGTTCATTTACACATTAAATATATCAAAAGTCTTTTGAGTATTTAAAAAACTGTGAACATACATGGTATGTGTACAGCATGTTCTGAAAGGCTGTAACTTACTGATGACCGTAGTGACTCTGTATGTGTACCTGGTGAATGGCCACACCCAAGCAGTTGAGTATCAACTCTGGCTGTTCCTTCAGCTCCGTGATTAGGTCAGGAAGTTTTTCACGCACAGTCTTATCTCTAATCAAGTCTGCATAATCCACCAGAACACTGCCCTGACGCTCAATCTCATCCTGTACACAAACACACAAAAACATTTATGAATGGGACACAATACAGTGTAATTTCCCTTGAAAAATACAACTGTCTATGTGGGCTATAATGAGAGATGGTAACCCAAACAGTCAGTTTATTAAAAAGAAAGGCATACAAGCAGACAGACCTTGTCATACAGGTGAATCTTGGAAGTGAAATATTTCTCAAACACTTTGATCTTCTCCACAATGGGGGAGCTTTCTATAAAGCCTGTACATAAAATAGCATATTAAGACACCAGACACACACAAAAACACATCATTATAACCATTATACACAACCTGTATCTACAGTATGCATTACCATCATGTGAAACAGAGCTATAAATATAAACATGTACCATCTGTGAAGTAGAGTGACCATCCTTTGTATGGACACAATATGTCAAGAGTAGACTGAGAAGCAACTGAAAAGACAGAGAGGCAGTCAGCAGTGTGAAATTTAATGCATAGTGTTGCACGCTTCTCAGTTTTCTGTACTATATAGGAACAACAACTTTACGAAGCTGTCAACATGGAGAAACATCACTTTGTAAAAGTGTAATTTATTTATGCAGATTTACTAGATTGATGTAAAAACTTAAAAGCAAATGGAACTCACCCCTCTGAGTACTGGAGGGATGGTTTCCCGATCCTCCAGCACGAAGACCACCTACACCTCTCGGCCCTCCTCCTGAACCTCTTCCCCCTCCTCTTGTTGCTGCTGATCCTCCTCTCCATGGTCTACTTCTCCATCCTCCCCCTCCTCTCCATCCCCCTCTACCTCCTCTCCTGCCTCCCCCACCTCCTCCTCTCCAACCTCCCCCTCCTCCTCCTCTCCATCCTCCACTTCCACCCCTCCATGAGCCTCTCCTAGATACCTCTCCATTCATTATTTTCCTAAGACAAAGAATAAAGGAGGGACAGGGGAAGGATTAAGCAAGGCAGTGTCTTTTCTTAGTGTTGCTTTAGTCAAACATTCACCAGATACTTTTATTTTAATCAGCGAAGTACATAAGTAACACACACTAGCAAAAAAACTACCATATTAAGACGTTTTTAATCTACACATTGGACAAGGTTTAAGTGTTTTTTAAAAATGTGCTGCATGTTGCTCTGAGTATAACTCTCCATACTAATTTAATGCCCACACTGTTCCGAACTCCATTTTAAAAACTGGTGTCACCGTAATTAACATATTCACCTCGTAAACACCGAACCAGACTGTTTAAGCAATGCACTTAACGTCAATCATTACAAGCCATTTGACATTTCGGAACTTCGTATACTGTTTATATTTAAGCAAATTTCCAAGGTTTATAATTCAACCTTAAACGCTTAACCTTACTAGCTAACGGTAGTTCTTCGCTACCACCTATTGAGAGAACGAATAAATCACACACAAACATTTCCCAACTAATCAATGCACAGTGTAAGATGGCTTAATTTAAATTATGCTAAATTAAAGTCTCCTTTCATGTTAACGTTGCAGTTTATTTTGACATAGCTAGTCAACATTAGCTATCCTTATTAACTAACTTGTCTGTTATTCCATTCTGCTTAAACATTATAAAGGTAACTGTAACTTGATACAAACCTTTCGTTTTACCTATAGTCTAAAAGAACCGACAATCGAAGAGAGTCCACTTCTACCCAATTTAACTACAGAAAGAAGGTATCGCTAACGATTTTGTACCGAACCAGTGATGTTTACGCTGCCCAGGCTATCAAACTTCCCTCCACGGACGCCGTCATGCTAAAACGTCTTCTTCCTCAGCTCTTATTTACAGCAGATCAAGCTCATTGTCGATATACTGCCCCCAGCGGTCAGCAAAGCTACTGCAGATATTTTTTAAAGTTCATATTCTTTTACGTTTTTCTCTGTGCTTTAGAAGGAGAAAAAAGATTAGTTATACGTTCAAACCTAATTAACTGAACCTAGAAAACGTTTAAAGACATAATATATAATAAAATGTACCTCCATAAGTAATGGAACAGTCCAAACTCCATATTCTTTTGGTTGTATTGTGTATGTATGTGTAAATATCTGTGGTCTTACAGTAAAGAATCAACTCACATGGCATATTAACAAAGAGTTACAACTGACTGAGGTTCTTGGGAGGCCGGTCTTGTGTAGTTAGCTTGTTGTAGCTGGAGGTTTTTTGATAACTATTAAAGTAAATCTACTAAAGATTCACCACACACCTATTGTTCCTTTTAAAGACTAATGTTTGGACATTTTTTAATCAAATGATCATTTCCATTTTTTGACATTAGCTAAGCTTCTCCGCAATCTTTAATGCGTACCCCCTGGTAACTGCAAAAGTACAAGTATCCCTGATTGTGAATCACAAAATCAGATGATCATAAGGGTGCATTTACTCATTCATGTAAACAAGTGCATGAATGTGAACCAGTACACACAGACATGCTCAAACATGCACAAACTCTCCAGGGTTGCAGGGTGTAATGCACCATACAGCGCCACTGTGATTGTGATTTCACTCACGCTCCCCCTGGCTCACACACACAAACCCTTCTGTTTTCCTACACTTGTCAGAACCCTCATTCACATAAACAGATCCCAAATTAACTGTATTGCTATTGCACAAAGAACAGTGAGCTCTGGGAAGCTGCACTGCAGTTCAGTGTCTAAATAGAAAGTACAAACATTCTTAAAGTGAAATTGATTCCCACAAACATAAGAGTATGAGAGCACATGCATTCACACACACTGTCAGTGGAATGGTCTGGAGGGGACAGAAAGACAGAACGAACAAGGAGAAAAATCAATACCTGAACTGCTGTGGCCTGGAGTAGTTAGAGGTAATAGCAGAGGGCTGAGAGAGATGGATGCACACGCACACACACACGCTCAAAACCAGAAAGACTGATAGTGAAACAAGATGTGTAAGGTCAAAAACAGCTGTGAGGGAAGCAGACAAAGGAACAAAGACAGTAACAAATATGGCTCTTAATTGTCCCCATCATTATCCTCATACTGAGAAATGAATTAATGCCTCTTCCACTTTGTGTGTGCCCTGTCTCTCTTCACACTTACTGATTTGATCCTTGTGATGATGATAAAAGGTGGAGAGAGAGGCACACATTAAAGTGCTGGAAAAGAGCTGAAGCACCAACAATCACCGCAGAGAGACAAATACTGAAACGATGAGAAAAGCCAGGCATTTAGTCTCTTGATCAATCAACAGCAAATGTCTTGCAAAATTGATGTGAAGTGAAGCCAATTTAGCAAACAAGAAGAGATCATTTTTCAACATGGTTTGTTTTTCTGCCAGAGTTCGAGACCCCAAAGTTAAGTAGGTGGTGAGTCACCGCTGTGTTGTGACATGACAAGAGTGTCGATATGTTTTAAATGAGTCTGAGTGTTGGGGTGAGAGACTTCATTACTTTTGTGTGTGTGTTAGGTGAGGGGGCCCGTTGGAATAATGTCAGACTGAGTTATTTTCACTGAAGGAATCCTCCATTTCAGGTGCTCTGCTACTTTCCTCTCATCGATTCAATCTGTTTCTCACAAGGACTTTGAACATGTCCCAGTGCAAACCATGAATTTCTTTGGTCCACATACAATACCGCCACTGACTTGTTTTATATCATATATACACTCTTGCCAGCTCTGGCAGCTTTAAAAAAATGTTGAGACTTGTACTCGGTTCCAGTGTTTTCACTAGAGCTGTTGAGATTAAGGGCCTTGCTCATGGGCACCCCAGTGTTGTTGATGAGGTTGATGTCACCTTTCACAACAAGATTTAATTCTGGCCTCACAGGGGATTGAACCAGCAACCACAGCTGCCCCAGATGTCTAGTGGCCATGTGGCAGCAGAAAACCTAATGAGAAAAGTTGTTAAAAGTTGAGGTTAATCATCTAAATACTCTTACATCCCTTGGTATATGCTTATAAGACACTAGAGGTTCAGATAACCATGTGATAAGATGATTAACTTTCAGTTTTTGTTGCTATTTTGAAATCATTACAAATTCAAGTATAATATGCTTGTAATGGATACAAGATGGTGGCCCACATGTATTACACTGCACAGTGATCAATTGTGGCTCCAGGAGACCAACACAGGTCGATAAGAGCATGCAGGCGACCGTCACCTGTTTGCAGCAAAGAGAAATTGGGCTGTCAAAACCTGTTTTCTTCATTGTTTTCAACATTTTTCTCAGTAGCAAGCACCATGTTTGGAAACGTAATGGGTGAAACTACAGGAATTGTCCTAAGTTTCTCAGGCTGAGAGCTAGTCACAAATAAGGATAATCACCTTTATTGACCAAGTATGTTACACACAAGGAATTTGTTTCTGGTACAGAACCGAGGCAGCCATCTGTGGCGCCAACTCAACCGATGGCTTTAACCATGGGGGGTTCAGTGTCTTGCCCAAGGACACTTCGACATGTGGACTGCAGGCACTGAGATTCGAGCCTTCAGTCTTTCGGTTGGGAGACGGCTGCTCTACCCACCGCACCACTGTCACCTCCCCGAAGGTTTTACTGGCCCGTATGGGGATCAAACCCGCGACCGTACAGGGAGATTTAAGTGAGACTTTGAATGAGGTTTTCATACATTTGCAAGAGAACCCAAAGGTTCCATTAGTGAGGTTTGCCTCGCTAATGGTCTGCATATGTTGTTCCTCTTCTTCTCAACATGTAAATGGACAAGTATTTGCAACATGTTCACCATACAGTACAAATATGTTGTGTTGTGTTTACAGCTTGTTGCACTGCACCAAAATGAACACAAAATCTGTTAAAGCCAGTTTGAATTTAATATGAACATCTCTTAAAATATCCTGATGACAGAACGTTTTGACACCGACACCAGCAAAAGTGACCAAAACAATGGAGGCAGTCAGTGTCTTTTTTGATACTACCACTAAAGGGAGCCAAACCCATACTTTTTCAGATCCTACACACATCTGTCTGGCAATGTTAACAACAAGAGCACCACATGTAAATAAGGCAGGTCTGGAGTTGTTGGAGTGTATATACAGTATATATTTTTTATTATTTTTGACAGAACTGAGCTAATTTTGTCCCCGGTTTGACAGCTATCCCAAATCAGCAGCCCACTCTGCACTGCCATCTTATACAACAAATACACACACCATTAAATGTGAAACTACCACACAAAAACACACTCTCTTTACAAGGACACACAAAAGTAAAAATACCAACTCAGCGGACACACACAGTCTGGAAAAAGCTGCTCTGGCAATTTGCCGCCAAGCCCTGCTGACATTTCTGTCTTCTCTGTGGGCTGCCAGACTACAGTCATGGATGGGGGTATTTCAGCTGTTATCTGAGGGAGACGTGTATGAAGATACCAGCAGTGACTTCGAAATATAGACATTGAAACCTGCCTCTTGAGGTCATCTGTGACATGCAACTTTTTTTTTTTACTTTACACTAATGGGAATGTCGAGGATTGATCTAACTAGTTTCTTTTCTTTCACTCAAGCTCTCTGCAATTTGAACACAAAATTAGTCTGATGACATTTTCTGGCTCTGTGCTCTTCTCTCAAAGCCTGTGTTTACAACAGGGACGCATCACCATCTCTCCATTTTGTTCTGAGGAGTGAAAAAGACCAATTAATGACCAGCATGACCTCTCTCCTCTCTCCACCTCCCACCTCTCTTTCTGTCTGTCAGTGCTCTTCCTTGTTCATATTGCATTTTCCTTTCACCATTCTTCATTAGGTTTTGGTAGACAACTAACAAACACGCAGCTTTTGAAGGGAAACCGAAT